GTTCTGGGGCAGCTACTATGTGTTCAGGCAGCTCGAGCTTAAGATCCAGATCAGTTCGGTTAGGACTCGGATGCAAAGAGGACTCGATCCACAACGCTATCTAGAGCACAATCGCGGCATGGCACATCGCAGTTCAGCACGGCGCAGCACAGCACAGATTTCTGCATGGTACATCAAGATCGATACACTCAGCATTGCAACTTGGCACGTTCCGTGGGGCGTCCCTTGGCGAGTCCCCCTGGCACGTCGCGTGGCGCGTCCCCTGGCACGTCCCGCGGCACGTCCATTGGCACGTTCCGTAGCGCGTCCCCTTGGCACGTCCCGCGGTGCGTGCCCATGGCACGTCCCCTGGCACGTCGCTTTTGGCGCGTCCCTTGGGATGTTCCGCGGCGCGTCCTCCTGGCATGTCCCCCTGTCGATTAATTCTGGGGCAGCTACTATGTGTTCAGGCAGCTCGAGGTTAAGATCCAGATCAGTTCGGTCAGGACTCGGATGCAAAGAGGACTCGATCCACAACGCTATCTAGAGCACAATCGCGGCATGGCACATCGCAGTTCAGCACGGCGCAGCACAGCACATATTTCGGCAAGGTACATCAAGATCGATACACTCAGCATTGCAACTTGGCACGTTTCCTGGGGCGTCCCTTGGCGAGTCCCCCTGGCACGTCGCGTGGCGCGCCCCCTGGCACGTCCCGCGGCACGACCATTGGCACGTTCCGTAGCGCGTCCGCTTGGCACGTCACGCGGTGCGTGCCCATGGCACGTCCCCTGGCACGTCGCTTGGCGCGTCCTTTGGGACGTTCCGCCGGCGCGTCCTCCTGGCATGGGGCCCCTCTGCTGTGTCGATTGGTTTTTTCTCCAGAGGGGCAGCAGAGAGCTACCATCTGCTCAGTCAGCTCGAGCTTAAGATCCAGATCATTGCGGTCAGGACTCGGATGTTAAGGAAGACTCGATCCACGACGCTATGTAGAGCACAATCGCGGTATGGAACATCGCAGTTCAGCACGGTGCAGCACAGCACAGCCCCTGGCACAGTACATTAAGACCGATACATTCTGCATTGCATTTGCCCGTCGCCCAATCAAGTGTCTTTGAACAGTTGCCATGCCTGTACCATTCATATCCTTTCCGGGTTCGTGGGTCGATCATGTTCGCCAGGGCATGATGAGAAACGGTCTCACGGCATCGGCATGGAGAAACAGAGATGCGCGGCGGCGGGCGCGGCTGGTCAGCCAGAATGGCAGCGCCACCTCTTCTGTGGTGCTTTGACCAATGCATACACCGGACTCACTTCTATAGCGCTCACTTCTATAGTGCTCACTTTGAAATTGTGGTCCGGAAGGGGCCGCACATGCAGGCACATGCCGCACAGTCGCATGCACATGCCCATGCAAATATACAAAAGCCTCAACAGCATTGCCGCACATGTGCGCACATGCCACACCGTCGGACGCACAGTCGAATGCACGGCCAAGCAAACCTCTGAAAGCATAGACGCACATGCCCGCACATGCCGCAGAGATGTCGCAGGCGATAGTGGCCTGACCACCTGAGCTCGGGGCATTTCGCAACCCAGAGTTGCGAGGATGTCTCAGGCAAGCGTGGCAGGACCACCATGGGGCAGGGCATCTTGGAAACCAGAGTGGCGAGGATGTCGCTGGTCAAGGTGACCAGACCACCATGGGCCATGGGGCAGGACACCTCCGAGGTCTGAGTTGCGAGGATGTCTTAGGCGAAAGTGGCCTGACCACCATGGGGCAAGAGATCTCTGACGTCAGAGTTGCGAGGATGTCTCTGGCGAGAGTGGTCTGACCACCTCAGCCCAGGGCGTCTCGGAACCCAGAGTTGCGAGGATGTCTCAGGCAGGAGTGGCCTGACCACCTGATCAGGGCATCTCGGAACCCAGAGTTGCGAGGGTCTCAAGCGGAAAAGGCCGAGACAGTAGCCGCGCCTGTGCGGAGCGTGAGCGGGGCGCCCCGTCTGTCGGGGCCGCGCAATGAAGCGAACGCTGCGTCCGCGCGCGGCTTGCGCGCGGACGCGAATGCGCCGGCGCCCGGAGACGAACGTCGGCCCCGGCATTCTTGCACGTCCCGCACATGCCCCGCACAGGTACGCACAGTATTCGCACAGGGCGAGCTCGCCAGTGGCCGAGACAGGCCAGCGATTCCGAGATTCCCTGAGCTCGGGCCGTCAAGCCACTTTCGCCTGAGACATCCTCACAACTCTCACCTCCTCCTCCTCCTCCTCCTCCTCCTCCTCCTCCTCCTCTTCTTTCTCCTCCTCCTCCTCTGGCCGAACCGAACAGGCGGGCGGACCGGCCGAGCCGGGGGCGCCCGCCTCCTCCGCCCCCCCCTCCTTCCCCCTCCCCCTTCCACCTCCCCCACCCCACCCCTGCTTCTCCGGCCGAGCTGAGAAGGCGCGCGGGAGAGTATTTTACTAGAAGGGCACTCCACCGCCAGCTCACGAACCGGGCGAATAACCACCCCCGCCAGCAGCGGGCGAGTCTAAACGCACAACAAACTCTTTCAGGAAACCCTGGCACGCCCCAGGTTAGCTCTGCGAAGGCCAGGAGGCATTGGAGGCACAGGGGTCCCAGACAGCTCCTAGGGCATGTGCGTGCATGTGCATTGGGATGTGCACGCATGTGCGCCCGCGCGCTTCACCGCATGTGCGTGCATGTGCGGGCCCGCGCGGCCTCCCGAAGACAGGTTGCACAGGCATGTGCGTGCATGTGCCGATGACAGATCTGCGATTCTCGAATACCTCCCGCATGTGCAGGCATGTGCGTCGGACTGTGCGTGCATGTGCGTATGATGGATACACCAAAACACAGCGCACATGCCCCCGCACATGCCCGGGCACGACGTGCACAGTAGGAAGTCCATCCAAAAAGGGCCGCACAGGCCTGGCACATGATTGGCACATGCCGCGCACATGCGCGCACATGACAGCGCAAAAACGGCCGCACATACACCCACACAGGGGTATAGATGTGAGTGCGGTGTACGCCCAGGCCACGCTCGGACTAAACACGGTCCCCACTGCAGATGCACTGCAACTGTGGGGCATCAATATGAGAACTGCCCATGGCATCCACGATGACAGCAGCAGGGAACAAAACGGCGGGCGCGGCTGGTCAGCCGGAATGGCAGCGCCACCTCTTCTGTGGTGTTTTGACCAATGCACACGCCCAGGCCACGCTCGGACGAAACACGGTCCCACTGCAGATGCACTGCAACTGTGGGGCATCAATATGAGAACTGCCCATGGCATCCACGATGACAGCAGCAGGGAACAAAACGGCGGGCGCGGCTGGTCAGCCGGAATGGCAGCGCCACCTCTTCTGTGGTGCATTGACCAATGCACACGCCCAGGCCACGCTCGGACTAAACACGGTCCCACTGCAGATGCACTGCGACTGTGGGGCATCAATATGAGAACTGCCCATGGCATCCACGATGACAGCAGCAGGGAACAAAAAGCTCTCTTGGGCTGTTCTTGGAGCCTCGTCGGGGTCTCGCTGGGGCCTCTCAGGGATCGGGGGTGTGTTGGGGGCCTCTGTGGGGTCCTGGAGGCCTCTCGGAGGTCTCTGGAAGCCTCCTCATCCCGCTCTTGGGCCCATCTTGGGCCTGTTCTGGGGTGGTCTGGGGATGTCCTGGGCGCCTCTTTGGCAATCTTGGAGCCTTCTTGGCCCGTCTTGGGGCCGTCCTGAGGATCTCTTGGGTGGTCTTGGGAGGCTCTTCGGCGCTCTTGGACCATTGCAAGCTCGAAAACGCGAGAAGCCAAAAACATGGAAAAAAAATGAGCATCTACGATTTGGGCCTCTTCGGGCCGTCCCGCGACACCTATCAGACCTCTCTTGGGCTCTCTTGGAGGGCACCTGTGAGCCAAGAGACCCGTCGAAGGCTGACTTGGGCTGCTCGGGACTGTATCCCCGGAAAGGCCGGGGGAGCGGTACCGGGAGCGTCCCCGAGATGTGGCGGGGAGGGACCCGGGGCCAGGGGGGCGGTATATATTTGCATTATACAGAACCGCGCGCGCGCTTCGCGCGCGCTTGGGTTCTAGCGCATGCCATGGCGTTGTGAGCTGCGCGTGCTTTTCAAACAGGTTCATTCCATGCCTTGCCCTACCTCGTCCTCCAATATTCCTTATACGTCCTTCCTCGTTAACCCTCCAGACTCTCTCGGTTGTCCTCGCTTTTCGTTTCTCGTCTTGCTTGGGATTATGCGGGGGCTTCGAGTTGTTCAGGGCCGGCGTGGGAAGATATTCAATATGAAGTGGGCTGGCTTGAAATGTACGGGTCTCTTGTGGATCTTCATGTTGGGGCTGCCTTGAAGGCCTTGGGGCCCGCTTGGGTCCCTCTTGGGCTCTTCTTCGAAGTTGTGGGGCCGTCTCGAGCCTCGGCGCCATGTGAAGCTCTCCCGAAGCCATCCTCCGGAGACGAGCGTGAGATTTACTGAACATGGAAAAACCTGAATGGCTTTTGCGTTTGTGGTTCTCTGGGGTCATTTGGGAGGGCCTTTGGGAGTTCCACTGGGGCATCTTGTGGCCCCTGGGGGCCGCCTTGAAACATCTTGGAGCGTCTTGGACCACTGGCGGCCATCTTTCGGTTCCAAGTGGCCCATGATCCCGAGACGACGATTGACCTCTGCGATCTCGTCCTGTGACATCGGGATCAGTGGCGGGTGGGCGCCCTCCTTATGAAGGGTTTTGCCCCTGTTTGGGCTCAGACCTTCATTGTTTCCTACAGGGCATCCCGGCCTGCGGTTCTGGAACGGCTGGGAACATGGTCCACGCGCTGCTTGAGGCCTATTCAACTTGCGAGCCGCGATAACGTTTCGCAACTGTGTCCGCACTTCTTCAATTTCAGGACGGCGGATGTTTGTTGCCATTTGATAGCCTCCGCGGATGGCCTTACCCTGAGCGCCCCTATAGGCAGGGTTGCCCTTGCCGAAGGCCGAATGTTCCCCTTTACGGCGTCTTGGATCACTGTACGGCAGTAGTTCGCCCCCTCGCCTGAGAGCGTGTTCCTTTGGGCCAGCTTGCCTCCACTCACGGGGAAGCCGAGCCTGAGGATGTGGCTCTCCTCTGACGCGCGGATGGGAACGAGACCTTCCAGCATTCTCATCAGAAGAGGCCGCCGAAGCAGCCTGAGTAGAAGCCGGCGGAGGCGCCGGCGGAGGCTCCTGTGCGATCCCAGGTGGATCGTCTGGTAAAGGCAGGTTTCCCTGCTGGCTGGAGCTCGGCGCAAATGGCGCCTGTGCCGATGGTGATGGTGCTTCAGGCTCGTCAGGATCAAAGTCCACCTCTACCTCACCGTTAACTTCCATCATGAGGATTGTGACTTCGTCCTCGTCTAGCCCGCAACCATCGCCTTCTTCTTCTTCTGATGTAGAACTACCAATGATGATGGCCATTGGCGCAGCCGGGACAGGCAGGTTCCCCTGCGTAGCCGGCATCTGTGCGTCGCTCGGCTGTCCCGGGGTAGGCGGCACGGTTGTCGGTTCAGGCTCGTTGCCGAGCACAGGCTGCCCAGCAATGTTGCGCATGGCCGTGTTATTTGGCCATAGCCCCACCGCCTGGAGACCCCATCCTGGCGGAGGAAGAGCCTGACCGCGCATGGCGATGGCCCTTTCAAGGGCATCACGCCATCTCCCTCGGGAGTACATCACATGCCTCTGCACGTCCTCAGGGTGCACGCTGTCGATGAGGGTCAAAGCTGCCAACACTATCTCCGAGTCAACGCAGGCGTCGGTGCCCTGCAGCATCATGATGCCAGCTTCGATGATTTCTTGACTCTCGGGATATGCGATGGTCAATACCTCGTGCATCCTCATGAGGGTTTGCAGTAGTGTGCGTGGTCCGTACTCGCCTGGAGCAAGCGAACCAGGGGGTACAAATGGGATCTCTGGTTCACCTGCAATGAAAGCTTGAACGAACGCTCGAGACTCCATTTCTATAAGTTCATCATTATTTCGGGGATAGGTAGGCCTGTTTCCAGGCGGGAGTTCAGGTGGAGGTTGGAGGTTGCGTTCAACCTCGGAAGGCGAGGCCTCAACAGTGATGTCCTCGTCGCTGCTTTCGTAGGCCATGATGTTGCCTGGGTTTCCGAACATCCAATCGAATAAAGACAAAGGCTGGTTTCCCAGCGTACCGTGAACCACGGGAGTGAGCTCGTTGTTACCAACAACGAACCTGCGGACGTACTCGAGGTAATACGCGTACAATCCATGACCGTGCGCCTCGAGCTCGTCGACGTTGCCCATGCAACTGACCCAAGTGTAAAATATCTGTTCCATGGCCTCAAAATCCTGGAGGCTCAGATATCCGATGAATGGTTCACTTGAGCCAAAATGGACTTCGGTCGATCTGCCCTCACCATTTCCCTTCGCTGGACAGTCTCTCACAAGATGGTCGGTACTATCACACTCATGGCACTTTAGAACCTGGCCGTCTCTACCTCGCGGGTTTCCCCGCCTACCTTTGCCTTTTCCTGGGGTCTCTCTACGGCCTTTGCCACGGCCCTTTACCCCGAAGAACATCTCATCATACTGTTCATCTGAGACCCTCTGGAAGAATGCCGCGATGCCTCGTCCGTTCAACCTCCGACGACCCCGCTTGCCTTTACCTTTTCCTTTGAAACTCCTCCGTATCCTCCTCCTAACACGTCGCACTGGTTTTCGCGTGAACCTCCTCCACCTCCGTTTAGCCTGTTGTAATAACCAAAATAGGTGTTCAGCACGTTGATTGTCAGTTTCCATATTCATAATATCTGACCAATCTAAAGCTTCAACACCGTCGGATGATGCAGTATCAGTGTCGGTGCCGGAGTCGAAATCATCGTCTCCCAAGTAGGTGGACACACCGTCGGTAAGGGGGTTTGATTCACCCCACAAAGAACGGTGTGGTTGAGGTTCTCTGGAAGGAGGGCTGGTTGCCCAGCTTGGTTGTGGTCGATCCCCTGCTAAAAAAGCAATAGATTCTCCGGGATCATCGGCCCATATGCTTGAGGGCCCGTTTCCAGGCTGGGCTTCAGTGGTTAGAGTAATGTAGAAATTTCCACTACCAGATCCTCTTCCCCTTCCAAACACAGATCCTATATTGCCAGGAGACCGTTCTGATAGGTGGCCTATCGAACGCATCCTCTCCATCAACTCATCATACTGTTGTTGAGTTCGGGGCATTTGATGCTTGAGTGGCCGTAGGAGTTGCATGGCTCGCTGGTTGCCGACGCCTAAGGCGCGGAACAGGATCGTGGTTAGTAACTGGAAGTTGGGAAGGTCGAATCCCACCGACTGTGCCTCAAGTCGGGCCATTTCGAATCGGGTTAGAGTGACATCGATTCGTTCTCCGTGAGGCACATGGAAGTCGATGAGCTGTGTGCCAGAAGTGAGCTGGCGCTCATCTTCCAGGCGCTCGAACTTCATGCTTAGGAGAAACATGATGTAGGTCGCTGGGTCTGTGTGGACCCCATCGATGTCAGCACCATAGTTTATAATGTCAGGTGGTACCCTCATGGCGAGTGTCCTCGCTAGGCCACCTAGGCCGCGTTGTATGGCGGCCGCTTGGGCCTGTGGCGTCATACGTCCGCTAGTGACGTTGAGCCACGCGTTGACCTCATAAACGTACTCACGGAAAGGCACGTTGCCTTGAGGGTCCCAGTATGGGCCATGTGTTTGCCCATCGGTGCTGTTTTCTCCGCGGCGCATGTGTCCGATTGCTGCCCCCAGCGCGAACCATATGATAGCGAAGATAACCAGCCCAAGGCTATGTAGGTAGGGGTGGTTATTAGGCGCGTTGCCGCGCTGGGGTAGCGCCTTGTCGAGTCGTCGAGGCGCTCTATCTGGCGGATCTCTCCGCCCATGCTTCAAGTATTGCGTTTTTGGCTCGTTGCCGAGCGGTTGGTAGTAGCGCAATGATGAAGTGTATATGGTACCAATGTTGTTGTCTAGACGTCGTACCTCTCGTGTTGCTTCTTGCTCTTGGATAGATCCTCGTAAACGTACTGGGAACGATAGCGCAGGGTGGTAGGTGGTCACGAGGGTCGTGCCGAAGAGTATGAGGATGAGAAGAGCAAGAGCTGACCACACGAGAGTGCGGCCAGCTCCGCTACCAAGTCGAAAGTGAGCCTGGTAACTCAAATAGCATCCGATTCCATGGGAAGCGGATGGCAAATAGCGTCCGGTATCGTACTGAGGCTGTTCAGTAAGAGGAATGGACGGATAAGATAGGATAAGATCGATGTTGTGATCTTTCCAGCACATAGCGAACAAAAGCAGTGTCCGGGCAAATTGGGCACGCGTGCCTTGAGCCAAAGGCAACGGCGCGCGAGCTATACTCCCGATACTATAACATATCCCAAAGACCTACCCTTAAAGTCTCAGTGCATCTCGGAACCCAAAGTTGCGAGGATGTCTCAGGCGAGCGTGCCCGGACCACCATGGGGCAGGGCACCTCCGAGGTCAGAGATCGCAGGATGTCTCAGGCGAGATCGGAGTGAACACC